CACCTATTCCTTTTGTTTGTCCCATGGAGCATGAAGTTCCCCACAGGGGAGATGCTTCCCAGGAACATCATATGGGTCTGACTGTGGCCTGGGTCAGCTCTCCCGCAGTCTTCTAGGAGGACGTGGGGGCTCAGGTCCCTAGAGACAAAGGCGTGTGGAGATTAAGGGGTGGGGGCTCTGAAGGCAGATTGCCTCTGAATCCAGGTGCCTGGGGTGATGACTTGGGAATGTGAGCCAGTTACCTGACTGCGCATGTTACATGTTCCTCTGTGAAGCAGGCAACCCATGAGACTTAGCTCATAGGTTTCTTTGAGCATAACCAACACCTGGAAAGGGGGCATGTGGACAAGAGCACAAGACCCTGCACATAGTCAGGGATGCATTGATCTGAGCAGCTGGGTTAGCCTGCAGGCAACTGCCAGGCTGCATCTCTTGGACAGTAGGTGTTTCTCCCCAACCCCAGCTCTGCCTATTTCTTGCATGATGCCATGGGAACTCTGAAAGAGTAACCTACTGCAACCTTATCGAACAGAAACTAGATATTTACATCCAGTCAAAAGTGAGAAATGGAAGATAAGGTTATGCCACGCTATAAATACTAACTTTTAAATGGAAATGGAGACAAATATTTGGAAAACAGCTTATGAAATTGAACAGATCCCAGTGGGMTGAGGCTCCTTTAGGTCGGATAGGTATTTCTCAGCTCTGTTTTCTTATTACATAAAGCGTGCCTGTGCTCGTGTGTGTGCTCATGCATGTGTGCTTTGTTTTTTCAGGGGTGCTTGAACCCATGTCTCTTTGTTGACAAATACATAAGGGGTCATGAAAGCTCCCACCCCAGATTTCAACAGAAGACCTGGAGCCAGGCAAAGTGTTGCCGGGCCCAGTCCCATGGGCTGGCCCTGAGAGACCCATGCTTGAAGTTATAAATGTCAAGAGAAGCTGTGACAGAGACCCCAGGAGATGCCAGTAACATGGAGTGTCGTCTGAGCCAAGCTGGTGGCTGCAGAGACCACCAGGATAAAAGAGCCCATGAGCACTGCAGCCAAACCCTGAGGAAATAACAACTCACCGTCAAGTGTCCTGGCCACTATAGGTGGACTCAGGGAGCCTCTCTGTCCAGCTGGGTCTTGATCTTATTTTGGCCTCAGTCTTTCCTCTGTGTCCTAGTCCCTCATTTCAAATGGGGATGATTATTGTGTGTGACTATATTTAGAAAATAGGAAACTTCTCTTTGACTTTTCCAGGGCATCCCAAACCAGTGTTGGTCAGAGGTCTCAGAGGAGACTTGGACTTGGCCTGGAGTTTGGGGCAGTGCCAGAGCTGTGGTCATTATGAGACTCTTGGGAGACAAACGGACTGAATCTTGCTCTGTGAGAAGACAAGGACAGAATTTATATTTTGGATGTGAGGTGTCCATCATAAGCTCTTTTGTTAATGGAAAAATATTCAGTGGTTAAAGAAGTAGATTGTGAGAGTTGAAACCTAATGAATTCATCCTAGTTTGAATGAACTGCTGGCTAGTAATTGTAGGAATGCGGGACATGTTTGGAGGAAGTGTATCACTGGGGTTTGGCCCTGGAAGTGTTCCTCCTGTGGCCCTTTCCTGTCTCAGTTTTCTGACCCCCATCTGTTGATACATTTCCTCCACTGGCCCCTCCCCACCATTATGTGCTGTTTGGAGGACCCAGAGCAAGGGAGCCAGTGCTCTATGACTTCTGACAATGTGAGGCTTAAAAATACTTTCCCTCCTCTAAGTTTTTCTTGTCATATACTTTGGTAACACTGATGGATAAAATGACTAAAGCAAAGGAATGTGCCCTTTGGTTTTCTGTCCCCATTATCATTCCACAATAGTGACTCTCCTGTGTTCCTCTGTTGCCACGGCAGCCAAGGTTCTCAGAACCCAGGCTTCTGGACAGCTGAACTTCTCAGTTACTGGATTCAGTACCTGAAGGACTTCAGGTAGCCCGTGTCTGCCTTAGCAGTTGGCAGCATTTTTTCCCGCAGAAAGTAAATAGAGTAAGGTGTGACAGAGTCTACAAGGTATGTGAGTGTGTGTGAGAGAGAGAAGAGAGAGAACAGGGGAGAGAGAGAGAGATAGAGAGAGGGGGGGAGAGAGAGAGAGATCAAGGGAAAGCCAATGTGTATATGTTCTTCTCAAAGACTTTCTGGAGCATCAGTAGAAATGATGGTCTAAAGATGCCATCAGATGATGTCAGAATGGGTGTTTAAATAGCTGTATTCTTTGTAGAAAGTAATTTAGTGTCAATTATCATAATTTAAAAATATTTTTAATCTCTGATTCAATAGAGCAACCTATAAGAATATGTAAAAAAAAAGGTAAAAATGTGTGGAGAAGGGGGTTTACTATCATTAATTGTTTTTGGTCTTAATTATCTAAGGTTCATTGATCATCTATGTTGACGGTTGTTAACAGGTGATCACCAAAGAGAGTTAATGAGAAAGTGCTGAAGGTTCACAGAATAGCCATAGATGTGTTTCCTGTAGGTTGTGCCACAAAATTTAATAATCTGTCTTTGATGTGAATTCCCATATATACAGATGTGTGCACACATGCACAAATCCATACATGTATGTAGATAAGAGGAAAAAGAAGACTATAAAGTAAGGCATCAAACTCTTTCCCTGAGGATTGTCATTCCCCTTGGATGGTGGGATATGGGTATTTTATTTACATCATTGACTTTCCTAAAATTTTCAAATTTATACAACTATCTTTAACGGGAGGCAGTTCTTCCAACTGTAGTGATAAGACAAAGCATGAGAGGTATCAGGTGGAGATGCTCAGGGCAGAGGGTCATTATTCAATAAAATGAGTTTTTAAAGAGAAAGAACTGCCTCTTGTGCCCTTGAGTGGAGAGTGCAAATACAGGATGCACTTCTGTCTGAGTGGGATAGCTGGGGATGGATAAAGGAATGGGCATCATTTGGAAAAGTCCATGAGTCCCYTCCCCCTATCATGAATTAATGTTTTTCTTTTGAAGTTTCCAGTGTCTAGGGAGCCTGGGCTTTTGAGCCCTTGGACCCCATGGACGACTTGTCCTCTGGCAACAGCTGCCCCGACATGCAACGCAGCATTTCAGAATCTAAATGCGACCAGAGCCTCTCAGAAGGCCATTTCCCCTCTGAGGATGGTCCTGGCTGTGAGGGTATCACACCCAGTGAAGATTTGCCCTCTGAGGGGCCTTCCTCCCTCCCTCCTGTCCAAGGGGCATGTGGAACCAGCAGTGTCAGGGGACCCATGGGGAGAAGAAATAGAATAAAGGAGAAGCCAGAAGACCTTGGTGAAAAAGCCATCTTGGAGATCATGTACACCTATCTCAACTGCCTCCATGAAGACTCCGTTGCTAACTGGCCGAAAAGTGATGACTACCAGAGGATGGACCAGCACCAACAGGAGACCATCACCCAGTCATTCTCTGAGTTGGAGGATATCAAGAAAGAGATTAAGGAGTTTCTGGACAACCCAGAATATGATGAAGAAGCTGACCCGGTGCTCCCTCAGTCTCCACAGGAGGAGAATGTGGATGAATCTGCCCTCCCTAATTCTTCTCAGCAGGAGGATGTCCAGCCGAAGACTCTCCAAGATGACAACAATGTGCGCCCTGATTCACCTCAGGGGGAGGATGTAGCTTACTTTGTACCCCCTGAGTCTCCTCAAAAGGATGAAGACAACTYTGTGCCCACTGAGTCGCCTCAAGAGGAGGAGGATGTCCAGCCGTCCAGCTGCGACCTTTCCCATATGGATCAGATCAGTCCTGGAGAGCAGGAGGCTTTTCAGGACTCGCCCAAGTGTCAACGAGTAGAAAATGGAGATATCAAGCAGTTCCTAAAAATGCCTCCTGGGCTTGAGGAGGATGAAATTGTTGAGGTGAGCACAGAGCTGCCCCCCTGCAGAGGAAGGGACAGGCCCAGTGGGGGTGCCAGGTGGGACAGCATGGAGTCCTTGTACCTGCTGTGAAGCAGAGGAGGACCCCAGTGTCTGGGCAGATGAGCAATGGGAGAAGGTCCTCAGCCAGGAAAGGGGTCAGGGAAGAGGTGTTGGGGAAATGCCAGGGAGCACTGAGAGAGAGAGAGAGGGGAGGACAGAGAGAAGCACCTTACAGACCAGTGTGTGTGCCTGTGTGTGGCTTTAATGTGAGTGAGTCCTGAAACTTTGCATTGACAGTTGGCTCATTTTGGTAAAAACATAAATTGGAAATCCATAAATGAGTAATATTGGCCCCATTGCTGCGGACCCTGAATGTCTCTAACTCCTCCTCTTTGTCTTGGCAGTTGGAAAGCCAGGAGACTGGTACTGCTGAAAGCTTCCCAGTCTCAGCATTGCAGTCAGAGGAGGGGGACCTGCCTTCAGATAAAGAAGGCACCTCCTGCCTGAATTTCCGGGGCTTCTTCCACTGGTTCAGGAAGAGATTGGTATCCTCCCTGCCAGGGAGAAAGCGCCGTGGGAAGGCTAAGAAGGTCTCATCCTGCTGCCACTAAAGAGAAGACATTTGGTTGGAGGCCACAGGCTCCAACCTCAAGAATCCCTGTAGTTAAGAACCCTATGCACCCAGAATTTTAATTGATTCCCCAGCCCATGTTGTACTTTTAGCCTGGTTTTGTGTTTTCCTAATAAAGTTCTTGTTTTGCATGTCTTCCTCCTCTTCCATCATAACATCTGGGCCCAGGTTGAAAGTAGKTAGGTTGACCAGAAGACTGAGGTTGACTCTGAGGACATCACAGGGAGTATCTTGCCTCCTACACAGAAGGCCTTMATTTCTCTCTCCCTCGKCCCCTTCTTACTGTATTTCCCCCTATTTTGTCTATTATTTCACACATTTCAATATCTTTTATCATTAACTCCTATCTGCAGTGTCAGAGGCATCAGGACCCCTGTGACTCCCATGTGGCAGGATGGTTTGTGGGAACTTCTGRGTCTGGAGTGAGTGGCAGAGGGCAGTGAGTCACTGGGAAGGCCATGTCMGTCAGTAGTGTTAGACAGTCAGAAAGCTGTTCTCATGACCCTGGGGACCAGGTGGTTSTAGCATGTTATTCTAAAATGTCCTGGCATGGTGGCTGGTTCTAGCAAGTGGGCTGGCGTAAGCAGCAAGGTGGAGGGGGGGAAGGTGGGGGCTGGGCATGCCACTTAACCACACTAAGCCTGGTGTCTTCATTCATAAGTTCTGGGAGATATTACAGACCTCACAGGGTTGTTCCAGAATGAATGAGGTAAAAGCAAGCCCTTGATAAGGACTGTGGCTGTTGGGGGTGGCCAGGTTCCTGAGGATCCTCCCCTGACACATTCAAGGCATATCTAAGAGAGTGACTTGGAATCAACTCTCATGGAGCACTTTCCAGCACTGAAACTATTTTACCAAAACTTAAAAAGTGTTCTGCAATTTTTGACTTAAAAAATCCTCTCAAGCCACTGTACTTTGTTCTCTGAAATTCCTTTGTGCCACAGTCTGGCTGGGCACAATTCAGGAACCACTTGTCAAAAGAAACAAACTTTACTTTTAGAACCACACACCACACCACAAAGCTCCTCAGGAAAAACCTTCAGAGCCCAACTGCCACCACCGGCTTCCCACAAACCTCTCCACCTCCCCCACTCCTCCTGCTCTTGAGGCTGATTGGCTGGGTCGCGTGGGCGGAGCCAAAAAAAGTCCCCCAATGAGCAGCTCCGTAGTCTGAAAGGGTGGGGAAATAGCCCAATGAGCATCACCGCAGAGGAGCCAATCAGTTGGCAGCTAGAAGTTGCTGGGGCTGCTGTGAGCCAATCATCAGCTGGCAGCTGGAAGTTTGTTGGGGCCCCTTTGGCTGTGGCTCTCAACATCTCCCCCTCTCTGTTTAAACAACAAGCATGTGGCTTAGGGACCATGCCTACCTTAGGTTGTCCAATAGTACATATGGTCCTTACCTGTAATCAGATGAGCTGACCTCAAGGCGTCAGCCTCCTGTCTTAGGTTGGTACCATTGCAATTGTATCTTACCCGTTATTGACTACCGGTTCAGCATACAGCCACACCTGTGGATAGGTCTTTGTACCATCGGGGAGGTGAGGTTCTTTGCCTCACCTCTTTTGGCCCCCAAATTTTAGCTGAACAACCATGACAAGCAAAAGGGAGGAAGATACACCAAGCCAAATGACGGCTCCTTTTGGAAAATTTGTACCACAGATGACACCATCAGCAAAAATACCCCAACATTCCACAAGTCGCTGCACCAACAGATAGTTGAYAATGCATACAAGTGAGTTCACAATGCATACAAGTGATACATAGTCCAGGCAAGTTCTGCAAGCAGTTCAGTGATGGCTATTGCAGAAKSTCTAGATTGGTTTTATCTTTGTCTTCACCGGCACTGGATGAAGATAGGAATTCTGGCAATAATGGCTAAAGAAAATATTATGTAACATTCCAGAAGGCACTAAAAGAGAACAATTTTCTTAACTATTCACATTATCTTGAACAGAATTATTAAATATAATGAAAAGGAAAGGTGAAAGTAAACAAACAGATCTGTTAACCTCCTTTTTTGTTCACATTTTAAAACAATCCTCAACAGCTGTTTACCCAATTTAAATTAAACCATTTAAATCACGTGAATAAAAAAATTATTTGGATCCATTTTTTTCATGAGCACTCACCATATATGATATATGGATATACGTACATACAAACATACAACATAAAACACAAGTGTGCACACATAATATAATATGTACAACACATAACATAATAATAAAGGCCTTATAACTTTTTACAGGTGAAATCTCCATTGCAATGTTTAAAAACACTATAGTCAAAAAATAGAACTGATCAGCAAAACATTAACCTAGGTCTGTATGAGMTCAAAAAACAAAATAGAACTTCATGATGTGGGAAAGGGTAATAATRAAATAGATATTGAAAAAAGCATCCTGGTTCTGTCACAGATGTAAGAATAGCCAAATTGGAGTTTCGGATATCAGCTGTTATGGATTTGAGCCAAATTATCTTCTTTTTGGTCTGTAGAAATCACTTTAGTTAATCTTTCTGAAATCCAAATCGGCTGCTGTTCTCCCTATGGAAACACATAAACAGACCCCCAACTCCAGACAATCACTGGGTCAGGACATTAGTTAATCTCTCTGGAATCCAAATCAGCTGCTGTTCTCCCTGTGGAAACACACAAACAGACCCCCAACTCTAGACAATTACTGGGACAGGACCTTTCCATTGTCCTGTTAGAATATCCTTCCAAAGTACCTTGGGCTTATGTACATTTTTTGGACACATATGCCTTTCCTCACCACGAAGCCCTGATGAATCCAAATTTAAAAAGTTTAGAGTAAAAAGGGTTATTTTAAGTTTATCTTTGGGAATATATACCCCTTCCCAATTCCTTCTTTTTGCTTTAATAAGTACATTTTAATAGTTTGATGAGCTCTTTCAACTATGCCTTGTCCCTGTGGATTGTATGGGATTCCTGTTATATGAGTAATGCCAAATG